CTTGTCAAGCTTGCCACTCAAGGCGGAAGCATGAAACTGCCGACATATCACTGCAAGTGACAAGAAAACAACCTGCAACTGGAAAGATGCCAATTCACATGCTGTGGAGTAATTGCGTTGGCTAAGGCTGCTCCTGTGCATTTTTTCCATTGAAACGAAATCAGGCACACATGCGATCCTCGCAGAATTGCTTTCAGGGGCCAGGGTGGCCAGGATGAAAGCGCATAAAGTTTTACATTGGGGGCTTCCCAAAAATAGGGGTTCCTTTTTGGGGTCCACATAATAAGGACTATAGTAGTTTGGGGTCTATATTGGGGTCCCCCTATTTTGGGAAACTCCCACATGGCAGAAAGCAATATTCTCACAAATCCTGTCCGCCTCATTATCCAAGATACTTGAAACCTTACAGATTGGCCCAGCCAATCAAACATAATGCTAACATTGGCGAATACAACAGTGCTCTGCTCGGCTGTTGTTCTCAGGATTCTGCATCAATTCGGTCCAACCTGTTGATGGTTCGCTTGGACTAACCTGGTGGGTTCAAAAACCTTGAAATTGCTGCAGCGAAAGTCTCTGGTGCGTTGCACGTTGCAGAATTGCCTCTTTCAGAATTGCACCTGAAAAGTTTGCTCCGATTGCAGCAAAGTCTAGTGCTTGCATTAAGGCTTGGAGATCTCCGTGCGCAGGTTTCAAGTTTGAGAGCTCCTATCATCAAACATTGCAATGCGCAGGTTCGATAGACGGGAAGCCATGCGCCGACGCCGAAGCGAAATGCAAATGAAAATCGCGTGACTGGGCGAGACGCTCTACGCCCACAATTGAAAGCCCACAAGCGCACATTGGGAAGCCATAGGCATCAGCTGTATAATGCTGAATTCAACTTGGCACTGGACCCAAGCCCATACACCGGTCACTTTGCGACCTAAAAACTTAGGTCTTAATGGCTTGACAGTTCCGGTTTTCTGCGTGGGCAACGGGCAGGCGCGCTGCAGGAACAGTGCAACAGGCCGCAATGCGTCCGCGAAGGCAGGTGCTGTTAAGTGGGCTTTTGGAAACGAAATTGGGCCAAATTGGGACTACCCGCATTCAAGAAACACCGACACGCTGTCTTGCAAGCTCAGGCTCAACCAAAGTCGAACGTGACTTGCAGTGTATCCATTTGCGATATGCTGTATGCCAACGGAAAAACCAATTCCCATGATGTGTGTTTCTAATCCTTGAACCTTGCATCAAGCAAAACAGGCCGGTTCAAAAGCTTCCTTGGGCGCGGAACTCTCCGACAAAAGAGGACAAAACAGCTACAGTCGGGGCTGAAAACAGGCACAGAATATGATCTGTCACGATCTGTGATATTCAACTGCATCCCACATAGCTGATAGCACGGTCGACACGGCACCCGTGATGGCAGCTCTTGGTGCCGCACCATGGCACCAGGATTTCCCAGGATCAAGTGGGGAATCCCCTGCGCAAGAACACTTTGCGACTTTCTTCGATTCTTGCCAACTCTTGCGTGCTGTTGTTTGTATGTGTCTAAAGAAATGTGATCATTAAGAACATCTGCTCAATAACGTGCTGTTTGAACGTTGCGCGCGATGACGGACCTGCATGTCTTGCCAAAATATGCAGGAGATTTCGACGTGCGGCAGGTCTTGGATCACTCCGTTACTCTACCCCAAGCCTCACTCGTCATGTTGACTTTGAACGGCTTTTCCACCTGACCATCACAGAGGCATGAAAACAGAAATCGCGTAGCGCGAAAACAAACAAGGCGCAAGGGGACTCGCCACCAAGTATTTATAGGCTTCTGTATAGGGGTCCCTATAGCCTATAACCGAAAACATGTTCAAGGTAGACTGCCGCTCAACCGAATGTTCCAAGAAAAACTCTCAGCATTTCTCTTGCGCAAGAGGCGGGCACCCCGGTTCGAATCTTGGAAGCCAGCCTGGGGCATGGACTATGCTGACGCTGCACGTCTTCAACGCCATGATCTTCATGGTCAATGGGTCGCATTCTGCATGAACTGCGCTGCAGCTGGACAGAAGCTGCATTGCGCGCTTTGCTGGGCTTCGGACTGCGGATTGTTCAAAGCCTCAACCCCAGATCGCAAACAACTTGACATCGTAGCGGTTGCATCTGGTATTCCGGCCTCTTCCAAATCTAATTTCAGATGCGTCACTTTCACCACCTGGCATCGTGTTGTAGAAATTGCGGCGCCTGGAAACGAATTGCGCCAGCTGTCTGACTGAGGCCCTTGCGCAGGGGGCCACTCTTCAACCTGAAGGGTTCTGCGCTTGTATTATCTCCGGCGTAGCAGTGGCTCAAGCACAACATGTTTTTGTACGTTTTACTAGCACGAGTCTCGCACAGGCATGTCCGGCATCGCACACAGGTCAGAGCAGCGCGCTCTGTGCCGGCAGTGATCTTGATCCCAACAGCTCTCCATGGATGTTTGCGTCACTGCTTCGGACTTGACCGTCTGCCGACTCACTTGGCTCACCCCTTCTACCTTTCTCGCTCTCCTTCTGCGTGGTTTTTTTGCCCAAAGCCCAGATATGTCCCTTCAAGCACTCTCGTGTTTGCAAACGCAAACGGCTGTTCAACACGGATGCCGCACGGTCTAGCAAGCTGGTCCTTTGCGCCGCTGAATCCCAAAGCACAAAACCTGAACATCTATGCTTGGGGTCTCGGAAAGATCTTAGCAGCATAAGGCACCGACCACATCTCGAATTCAGCTTGTCAACTTTGAGCGCTCTGCGCTCCAGCGCCATGCAATTGCATCAAGCCCCCCGCTGTTTTACAAGAAAAGGGAAGCTGTCCGCTCAAGGCTTGCTCTCGTGATGGCTTCGATGCACCTGCCAAAAGAAACATACGGCAAATCATCTAAAGACCCGCAACAAAAAAGTTTTCCGGCCGATTCCAAGAGTGTCGGCCGCGAGCATCCAGCAACCTGAAAAAAGCGGGAAAACACCGACCAGAATGGAAATCCGTGTAGAAACTCAGCAGCTAACGATGCGTGCGATGTCGAAAACAGCTGCCTCTGCTGATGCGTTCAAAATGCGCAAACTGGCTGATCATGGTATCTGTGCTCACAAGCTGGTGTCTGTGCCCGGACGGCAGTGTCGGAGGCCAAGTTCTAGAGGACCTTCTATTGACAACCAACCGCGCTCAGGGTCAAGGGTTTGCATTCATTGACTGTAGAGCAGAGTAGCTTTCTGCTTTCAATCTGGCCCCTATTGGCCCCTCCGGCCTCAGGCTTTGGCTCTAGCAAGTTCTGGCCCAAGACAGCGAAGGCACCTGTAAGCAGTAGACATCCGAAGCAAAAAAACGCGTGGGCTGAGCTTCAAAGCACCTCTGCTTGTTCGACTCGGTGCTTCTGGCATAGTGGTCAGCACCTTCAAGTGACCGGCGACCTTCCATGAGGCCTCAGCGCACTTGAGAACTCGAACATCCAACAGCAGGCTGCAGTAGGCTGTCTGCATCTGTGCGCAACCCTCACGTCTCGAGGAGCTCCGACATGATCGGTGCCGCGATGGCTCCAGAAGTTCTGCCAACTGCATTCTGCCAGCAAGCTGCAGCAGACAGAAAACGGGATGCTTGAGGGAGCAGCTTCTCAGGCGAAGGCTTCTGCCCGGTACTCACACAGGAAAACGAACTTTTCCTGCCCACATGAGCTCAAGTTCTCGGTCCTTCACAAGATCTCATCAATCCACGTCTCGCACCGTCCCGGTTGGATGGCCACCTGATCGAAGGACAGGCTAAGGAATCAGTTTTCGCTACCTGATTGAGCCGGGTGTAGAATTCGGCGAAACACTACACGTGCTCAGAATGCAAGCATACTGGGTCAGGTTGACCCTCTACTTGTCCGAAGTATGTCCCAAGGCCAACTAACCAACGACCACGACGGCCGGACAAAGCGCAAGGCTCTCTAAACGGAATCCGACAAGTGCAATCGGAGACACCTAGGCTTGAAGCATTAAAGTCTACCCTGTATGAAGGAAACGGAAAGTTCAAGTCCAGGCAATCAAAGGCACAAAGGCTGTTCTCGCAACAACAGCTGCAGTGAACGTTGCATTCTGTCTGCTAGCAGTGCGACATGCTGTGTTGTGCTGATGGCCCCGTCCCCAAGTCGGACTCTTGGCAAAATAAGTCACCGCCACTGCCGCCAAACATGTAGACGGCGGGACAAAAACTGTTCGCACCTTCCCCTCCCCCAGAAAACAGACACTGTTACTCCCTCCAAACACTTCAACCACAGAAAAAAGAACTGGAACTCCCCCTCTCCCCTAAAAGTGACGCAATTTCCCCCTCCAAACACTGAAACCACGGACAAAGAAGATAGTACTTCCACCCCGGGAAAACGAAAACAGATTCACTCTCCAAGCGCTCAAACTGCGGACAAAAAAAGCATTCGTACTTCCCACCCAAGGAAACGAACACAGCTTCACTCTCCAAATACTTACTGTAATTGCGAAGAAAAAACATGAGTGCCTTCCCCTCACCCCTCCGGAAAAACGGACACAGTTCTCCCGCCAAGAACTTAAAGTGCGGAAAAAAACTATGCATACTTCATCACCTCCAGGAAAAACTGATACGGTTTCGCCGCGGTTCGCCCTCCAAACACCTAAACCGCGCATTTTTACACTCGAGTCCCCCCTTTCCCCACGGAAAAACCCAGTGCTATTTAGACCCTCCAAACACACCGCGGAAAAACATACAACCTTCGTACCTTCCTGCCGTTTCCCCCTCCAAAAACGTAAACCGAAGGAACAAAAACCTTTCGTATTCCTCTCCTCCTCATACCGGAACAAAACAAACAAAGTTTCTTTCCAGAAGGCGGAAAGAACCGGACACAGCTCGGGAGCTTCCGGGAGCCTCTCTCTCTCTCAGTCTCTATCGCCGTGCGCTTCAATCTCAGCAGGCTCTCAGAGTGAGGCTTGCTGTGTCAACTGCACGAAAAGAAGAGATGGGTGCCTGGCCTAACTCAGTCCGTGACCAAGTGACTAATGGTGTGAGAGCGTCACCGACTGCTCACTACCGAAGTAGTCCCCTGGCAGCGCGAGGTCACCAAAAGTCACAGACACACAAAGATACATGCACACTCACACAAACACAACCCACCACCGGCTCTTGTGGAGGAAACATGAGCCTTGAAGTCCGCAGTCCAAGCGCCCATCCCAGGTCCTAGGAGTATCGCGAAGCCATCACGGCCCTCATGATTCTACGGTCACACCGCTCCTGCGCGGATGCTTCTTGGCATAGTTCTTCACGCTCGAGGCAGCTCCTCGGTCCGAGTTTCCGTGACTCTGCGACGTACCCTCACATCACTCACGTTACGTCGGCACGTGGACCGGACCTCGCGCAGCACGGGGTTGACCGCACTCCCCAACACCTGGCGCGGTGTAGAGGCGGGACTGCGCCAAGCATCGAATATCATTTAATGTTGCCAGTGTTCCGGTACCTTCTTTTCTTGTACTTCTCTTGCACGTTTTCTCCAAGTCATCCCTCGGATTTTTGGGATAGTCATGGAGCGACTCGAGAAATTAGCGTCAAAACGGAAAGCCCTAGGCCAAGCGGGCATAAACTGTTTCTGAGAAGTCACTGGAATGCCATAGTCTTGACCCTGCAGCTCCTTCGCTGCTTCCTGGCAGAAGCACGAGCTTCGGGCAAATCACCGCTGTGCCAGGAATGCGCATAGCAGCATGCGTTTCAGTGCAAGTGTGGACCTTCATCTGCGGCACACTACGGGTCCGTTTTTGGAAGCACATGTAGACTTTATGTAGATTCAAGTAACTAGCTCGATCTTTTACTTGCTACTCCCGGAACATCCACCTCTTGGTTCTGAGCTTCCCAAGGTCTGAAAGCGCATTTCGAAGTCTCTGTTGAGGTCGTAATTCCTCCGGAAAATCGGCAGCGTCCCCGAGGAGCGGACTTGCAACACAACGATCCGCAAGCGGCAAATTTACGTACACACACAACGACCATTTTCGGCAAGACTGCGAGGACAACACCCGACCGTGCAAATCCTATCGGGCTCGCGACAAGACAAATCAGGGTGAGACACTACCCGGACCAAGACTGGCCCTGAAGACAGACGCTTAGGAGCCATATGCTGCCATTCAGACACGGGCCAATAGCAAATCTGAACGTCTCTGGCAATACTGTTGTATAGTATGCGTAGTTGAATTAAAACGACGAGCCGGATGCTGCGCAGAGTCAGTTGGCTACACGGAGTTTCCGATCTGCAGCATGTCCTGCAAAACTGCGCGACATCCATGCAAAAAATGCCGACCAACATGCTTGCCCTTGCCACAAGCTCAAGAACCGAGTCCCAAGAGTTTTAATTACATCTCCACCCCACATGGATCATACCCCAAACCCTCACGGGCCCCAAGCTCACACGTCCTTGCATATACATGCATACGTACATACGTACATACATGCATGTATACATACATACTTAATCATACACTACAAAACACGGTGTGTTTGCATTTCTTGTGTACGCGTTTTTGTGCCTCAGTTCGTGTCTTGGCTGAATCTGACGAAAACTACACCGCTGCTCTTCCGAGCCTTGGAGGTGGACTGGCAAGCGGCCCCGGGACTCGGTCATCTTCCGGAAGACTTCTTAGGCCTTCACAAACACACATTGATTGTAGTGTGAAATCTGAAAAGGGACTGTAGCATTGAGTTGCAAGGATGAATCTTGCAATCGCATCTTCTTGCAGGGAGCCGAGTGAAGCTGAGTTCTTGGGTAGCGGACTCTTCGGATCCCAAACCTCAAGTAGTGGAGGCCCTACACCCTTGGTTTCTTCCAGAAATATGGCTTGACCCGTCATCTCAGAAGGATCGCAGTCGATTCCCACAGGAGCGTTATCTGGGCCCCCTCCACTGTATGCAGCAGTCACTGCCACTAGATGCGGCTAAACCTAGAGCGGTGCTTGTCCAGAGACCATGCCTGCAAGATCATGCGCTCTAGATGTGAATCCGTATGTTTAACTCCACTAGCTCCACGCAGGGCAATGACCAGTGAGACAACATAATGCGAAGCTTCAAAACCACCGAAGCTCTCAGCACGACCTTCCCTTGTTTTTGCTTCAGTCTCTCGGCTTCTCGATCTAGGGGTCAGCAAGTCATCTGATCGGCCACTAGTGCAATTGGCTGTGTTCAACAACTTGTGCCTCAAGCCTTCTGTCAAAACAGGGAGGTGGCTTTAGGAGTTCAGCTCTCTGTGTACCCCTCCTCAATATCAGGATTCGGAATCCCAAGTATCCGGTGTAGAAGCAAGCAAGAGAGGCATTGCTATCACACGGTAACTAATTGAGCGGTGGCGGAAACCCTGTGAACCTTTGGCTAAGGCAGTGGTGTGCTACTTGTATCGCCCGCGCCTGTCGCACATTGAGGTCGCTCCAGGAACAGCTGACGACCAACGTATACTGCTTTACCGTAAAGTATACTGCTGCACACCAGTCTGCTATGCTATCGTGAGGCTATCGTTGACGGTTTATGCGAAAGGCTTGATGTCTACCTCCATGCACATGGCTGCGGGCTCTGAGCTGGGACTTGGATGGTGGAATGTCAGCAACAGAGTCTGCAGCACCGTCAAAACAGACGCGGACGAGTTACCTCGACGTTAAGAAACCCGTTTGAACCATGAGCGCCTGGGGTTGGTTTGTGGCGTTTATACTTTACAGAGCTGTTACAGGTTGGTCCTGCCGTGGTCCCGATTGCCTGCAAAGCCCTAGAAGTTTGGGCATCTGTTGTTTTGACTTCGGCGTTTCCTCTAATGCGGCCCACGGCAACTGCGGGGCGGGGACCTGTCTGGCCACACACGACACCAGGAAACGCCGCAAGTATCAGGAGATCGCGCGATCTCGCAAGCAAGCTGATTTGCACTGCCTGCCAAACGGCATACGCTTGCAGCAACCATTCTCATTCCATGGGCATAGGGCCTTGAATGAGGAAGCTTCGCAACATGTCGTATATCAAGTGGAAAACCTATGACATGCTTCTAACATATTGTACTATACGCATGCCAGAAGTCTGAATGGCTGCACGGATTTCATCGACTTCTTGTGAGATTTCAGCTGATGCGCGCGCATGGCATCCAGCAGCTCTGGAGTCATCTAGAAACTCTCCAGTTGCTGATTATGATTTAATCTCCACTGCTCCTCCGACCACTGTTGCTTCTGCTGCTGCCGCCACTACTTCTCCTCGCAGTAACTTGCGGCATTGCGCAATGACCTGCGATACTCCGATACACGTGATGTCCGCATTATACATTACAGGACCACAGAACCCTGTGTGGCCGACGATGAGACTGAAGATGCCTGACATCATTCCGACATCAGAAATCCATCCTGAGACATTTGCATCACAACCTGTGCAATCCTCGAAGGATGTTGTCTATAGAGCGTCATGTGCCATTGCGAGGATTGAAATATGGGTGCATTTCGCTACCCATGGAATGATAGCCTCTGTTCATGATTTCTTCACAAATCAGGCCACTTGACATGTGTGCCACCTACTGATGTACTTCAACTTGGCCTGAGGCTGCAACCCGCCGGGCATCATGTGCAGTTCAGATGAGATTCTCATCCTCCTCCAGCTGCTTCTCCTCCTCCTCATCCTCTTCCATGTCATCTTCGTCTTCCTCTTCTTCCTCCTCGTCCTCTTCCTCCTCCTCCTCCTCCTCCGATTCTCCCTCCAATGACTCACCGTCCTCCTCAAGAAGACCTTCCAGCCGGAGGCAGAGCAGCTCCTGGGCACAATTCTGAAGGATCGCGCGGCCCAGATGAGTTTATCTCTAATATAGCAATGCTCGCGACAGTCAGTTGATCCAGCCCTTGCGAGATTGACCCCCGCACCAGACCCATTTTCGAAACCAGCAAAGGCTGCGGAACTCTTGATCAAGCCACTTCTCGCCTCAACTTCCTTGCACGACTTTGCAAATTGGAGCTGCGACCAGCCAAGGCTGTGGAACACCCTATGATCCGCTGGTGCTGGCGACAACCACCCGATCCTGGCCTTCAGATTCATCCACGCACTTATTCCGGCCAGCCTGTGCCAATCTCAACACCCGCAAATGCTGCGGAACTCCTTCTGGTCGAACTACTAATGTTTGGCCTCTGTAGCCCGGCAACCGCCATTGGGCTATTTTCCCATCCCCCAATGTTTCAGGATCAGTTGTTGTTTGGGGTGCTCGCTGTTCCTTTTACTTTTCTTTTTGGTGGTGGAGTGGAGGGGTAGACTTCTGTCCCGTACAAATCGTGTTCATTACGAATGCCGCCTACCTCTGCACTACCCAACACATTCACAACAACCTGGACGGAAATAGGATGTGTAACACGCAAACCACAAAGCAGCTTTTCCAAAACATTCACACCTCCACCACCCCCCCATGCAAAGCTTTTCCGGTTCCGGGCTAAAGAGGGGACCCAACTGACTGGGGGGACCACCCATGCATAAGGTACGTACCGCGCGACAACTGCGACAACCACTTGAGTCAGCCCTTGCATGTCGATACCCGCGCCCAGGCTAAGCACCTAGCAACATCTGCTGCAGTCAGCCGGTCAGCTGGATCCTCCATAAGCAGCTGGTCCAAATTTGTTAATGACTGGACTGGGACGAAGTCTAGTTTGTGAACAGCCAAATCAATTTAGATTGGCAGCCAGTCATCCGCACCGCCGTGCTTATCGACCTGCCAGCGGGCCACCAAGCCCAGACTGTAGATGTCTGTGGCAGGCCCATAGGGCCGGCATGCCTGGATTTCCTCGGTACCGACTGCGATCTAGAATCCTTGTTGTAATATATAGCTGAAACCCACTCAAAAGTTTCTCATGTCTATGAAGGCTCTGCTTGCCCCCGCATGGGCTCCCTGCATAGCAGGACTGAATAAACGTTCATTCCCATAATGGCAATACACAGAACCTCTTGCAGGCCCTGTGGGCATTGGGACCCTATAGGCGAAGGTTCAGTAGTGGTTGCTGAGCAATGCCACTTTACACATCTGAACCCAAATGCGCTGTTACAGCGTGGAAGGGCGTGAGAAACCAGCATCAAGCTGGGCAAGGAAGGGTTGCGAGCGCACTCCAGCACATGTAAGATACACGCGAGCGCGCCGGCGCAGTGGAAAGAACTATGCTAGGTGCACGGGTCAGAAGCATGCATGCCGTTCCGTTCTTGATTACACGCCGACAAACAAATCTCCGCAAGCACTCGCAAGACTCGCAAATGTCCAGACTCGCAAACGTTCTTGTTGATCAGTCTGTCGACCCACCCACGAAACCCAGCTGACAAGCAACCAAACAAACAAACAGACAAACAAACAAAGAAATCAGTTTACTTCGAACATCCCCACCCTAGCGCCTTGTGACTCGAGCCTTTTTCTTAAACCCTGGTGTTCCCGAGCACTCCCGCGGGCCGCCACGCTGCAGCCGAAAACCCTGGTATTCCCAAGCACTCCCACGGGCCGCCACGATGCGGCCAACACAGCAAGATTAGGGCTGATGTTTCACACGCATTGTGATGGGGGTTTAGGTGTGGAACAAGTGTGTTTGTATAGCACAAGATGTTGTACAAAATATGACAGAAGAGTACGTGTGGAATCTGCTTGTGACAAATGAGTCCGATGCATTATGAATTAAGCCTCGAGGCTGCGAGGCCCCGGCAGATTCCAAAGTTGGGATTGGGCACTCCAGGGAATCTCACGGTAGTCTGTGGGGTTGGGCACTCCAGGGATTGTCACGGTATGTGGGGTTGGGCACTCCAGGGATTCTCATGGTAGTCTGCGCCGTTGGGCACTCCAGGGATTCTCACGGTAGTCTGTGGGCTTGGGCACTCCAGGGATTCTCACGGTATTCTCACGGTAGTCTGTGGGGTTGGGTAATCCAGGAGGTAATCTCAGCGGGCGAGGAGTAATAGCTGACTTCATTGAAATCTAACAACCCCACACCGAGGGTGGGGAACAAACAAACAAACAAACAAACACACAAACAAACAAACAATCAAACAAACAACAAGCAAACAAATAAATAAACAATGAAACAAACAAACAAACCGTCAAACAACCAAGCAAACAAGCAAGCAAGCGAACAAACGTAAACAAACGCGAACAAGCAGAAACCAAGGTTCTGGTGATTGGAAGCCCCTGGTGCCCATGTACTCACGCAGGCCGTGACCAAAAAGGGCTGCCTGGCCGAAGTCCAGGAGCCTCACAAAGCCATCCTCGTTGATGGCGAGGTTGTCCGGTTTAACGTCACGGTGGACGAATCCATGGTGGTGGAGATGGCCCAGACCCCGGGAGCATTGAAGTGTCACCTTTTTCGAAGCGTGCTGACACGAAAGACTCTGCCAACGCCACTAAATTCAGGCTTGTGATTTCTGGGGAGCTCGCCAGGGACACACTGGGCAGTTCTCCCGCCGACGTCAAAGGCTGACCCACATAGTCCATGACTATGTGGGTGCTTCCACCGAAGTGGAAAGCGGTGATCAGTCTCACCTGCTTGAGCTTTTACCAGCATCTGCAGACTTCACGATCAAGACTGCAAGCATGCCCGCGCCTGCGCCATCCACGAGTGGTCGTAGCTTGTTTTATTGCAGGAGCTTGGCTGTACGCTGGATGGTGGGCCTGCACGTAGCCGTACCGTACCCATTCTGGCTATAGCCAGATCCCCAAGCTGCATGTCCCTGCTTATCGAGGTCTGGAGACAACGTGGGACAACTGTGCCCAAACGTGGTAGAGCAGAGGACGGTTTTTGTTGCTCCTCGACACCGCTCCTGCTCTCTGCGCTGGCACGCAGCTTGCACAATGCACCGGATCTTTTCTTCGATGATGTGCTCCTGCGCACTCATTATCGTTGCGGGTCTCTTGTCTGCGCAAACTGGGAGCGAGGCTGGCATCTCCGGCAGACACTGCCTGCACCTTGGATCCTGTGAGGACGGGATCGTCTGAAGGCTAAGCAAATGCCGCAGTGTAAAAGCGAACAAAGCGACTTTTCGACAAACGGATGCGCCTCGGCTGGTGCTCCCCATCTGCACGCGGTCCGTGCTTCGCCTAGAATCAAGCGATGGTGAGGTTAAGCAGCACGACAAAGACTGTGCTGTCTTCTGTCAAAGTCGCCTGACTGCCGCCCTTCCGGGTCGAGCTAAGCCAGTCCTCACGCATCACTGTTGAGGATGAACCGTTATGTGAGACTATCACCCTCCCATGACCAGGGCATGACAAGCGCAAAGTCCACTGCCACTGCTTCGCAAGTATGAAGGACAATCTGAGCGGAGTCCTCCTCGGCCAATGCTAGCTGCACCTGATTTCGCAATCTATTTCGCATCGCAGGATTCGGACAATGAGATAGCAAGGTGGCGCGGAAGCTGAGTTTGTAGCAGCTGAGCGGATACTGGATCATACTGGAAATCCAGGATATGCAATCCTGACATGGTTGGTTTCGTGCGACTGATGCAGCTGTAGCTGTGCTCAAACATGTGTAACCTTCATCGCAGGGATGCCTCGACTTCTGAACCCACTCGAACTTTGACGGATCGCATCTGCATGTGCAAAGCAGATGCTCGATGAACCTCGGATGTGCCAAAGCACTAGCCGCTAGCCCATGCAACAACTCCATCAATTGCAGCCCTGGCACCCTTTTGGGCACTGGCACTGGAACCGATCCGCACAGTCAGCAATGATGGCATGTCGACCTGGGAGGCAACAAGCCGGTAATTCTTGTCTTGTCCCGTCAACTCTCAGCATGAAGCCCTCGAACATTGGTCCCTGGATGTCCCGGACATCGCCTGAATCCGTCACTTCCAATCATCCGACTGGACGAGAAATCATACCGGGTTTCCTTGAAGGCAACTTGTTTCACCAGCAGAGCACCATCGCTAGCATCAATGCTGCTCGTGTAGCAACCGTGAACATATACATACATGTACCAACCGCATGGACGAGAATGTCACAGCAGCCTAGTTCGACTTGGCTGGCACAGCTTTATGCAGATCAGCATTCGAGTATGCTTGAAGGACTCATGGCAAAGGCCAGGGACCCCGTTCCCGGCTCACCCTCCGTCCGTCATGGAGGAAACATGAGCCTTGAAGTCCGCAGTCCAAGCGCCCATCCCAGGTCCTAGGAGTATCGCGAAGCGCTCACGGCCCTCACGATTCCACGGTCACACCGCTCCTGTGCGGATGCTTCTTGGCACAGTTCTTCACGCTCGAGGCCCTGCCTCGGTCCGAGTTTCCCAGCGACTGAGGAAAACTGTGACTCTGCAACGCACCCTCACATCACTCACGTTACGTGACCACGTGGACCGGACCTGGCACAGCAGGGGGTTGACGGCACTCCCCAAAACCTGCCGCGGTGTAGAGGCGGGACTGCGCCAAGCATCTAATATCATATATATATATATATATATATATATATATATATATATCATTTAATGTTGCCAATGTTCCGGTACCTTCTTGTACTTCTCCTGCACTTTTTTCTCCAAGTCATCCCTCGGATTTTTGGGATAGTCATGGAGCGACTCGAGAGATTAGCGTCAAAACGGAAAGCCCTAGGCCAAGCCGGCATGAACTGTTTCTGAGAAGTCACTGGAATGCCATAGCCTTGACCCTGCAGCTCCTTCATGGCTTCCTGGAAGAAGCACGAGCTTCGGGCAAATCACCACGGTGCCAGGAATGCACATAGCAGCTTGCGCTTCAGTGCAAACGTGGACCCTCATCCGCGGCACACTAGCACTGACGCTCGGAAGCTTAATGTGCAACCTGGCCTGCGTCATATAGTAATACAGTCATATAGGCTCTGAAATTTGGAGCTGACCTCCTCTGACCAGACCTAAGCAGGCTCACTCAATCTAAGCTCCCAGTCAGCACGAAGAGCAAAGAACGGCACAGGACCTCTCTTTGCAAGCACACCCCGCAATTGCAAACGCAATGCTGGTAGAAAGTTGCCATGAAGGACCATTGATGGCACGGCATTCTTTAAGCAAGTTCGCCCCCCCCCCCCCACCCTGTGTGCAACGCAATATTGAATATTGCTCGCAGAAAAGGCGTCATGCGAATGTCCTGATGGCGCGGCGTCCCCAGAAGCAAGTTCGCGCGGCTTGAAAGAGCCGGGGAAAAGCTACCCTTTGCGCCGAACGGCCACCCACCCCCGTCTAGAGAACCGCCTTTCTCCGCTAGCGGCAGCATCGCTGTATCACATCGCATCGAGCAGGGTGTGCCTGCAGGAAAACAAGCAGCCGGGAACCCGAAAACCGCGCACCGTCCGCGAACCACCGTCCGCGCACCCGATATCGCGCTCCCGCCCCTTGTCCGCGCCCTCCCCCACGCACCGACCGCACACTCGATATCCTGCTCCCGCCCCTTGTCTCCGCCCTCCCCGCACCGTCCGCGCACCCGATATCGCGTTCCCGCCCCTTATAAACCTTGATACTTAAGTATGTATGCCTATCCATGCCCAGCAGCAAGATGCGCGCCGAGGATGGAGGAGGAAAAGGCACGCAAAGACACAGACAAGCTGGACAAGGAGAGCAATTTGGGGGGGGGGAACAATGTTCAAGCCCTCCACCGCGCACCGTCCGCGCACCCGATACCGCACTCTCGCCCCTTGTCCTTGCACGCACTCCTCCGCGCACCCGATATCGCGCTCCAGCCCCTTGTCCCCGCCCTCCGCTGCACACCGTCCCGCCCCCGAAAACGCGCTCCAGCCCCTTTTCCCCGCCCTCCACCGGGCACCGTCCGCGCACCCGATATATCAAGGCCCGTGCACCGTTTAGTCCTCTAAAGCTGTTCCGTCAAGACAGGTTCCGATATCGCGCACCTCGCATTGGAGCACTAAACGAGAACCCAACCCGAGAGGGGTTTTCGGGAATAAGAAACGAACGAAAAGGCAGAAGGAGAATTCGGATGGCTCCGGCCGGCGCCATGTTGAACAAATAAGAAACGAGCGAAAAGGCAGAAGGAGAATTCGGATGGCTCCGGCCCGCGCCTTTTCAAACAAATAAGAAACGAGCGAAAAGGCAGAAGGAGAATTCGGATGGCTCCGGCCCGCGCCATGTTAAACAAATAAGAGACGAGAGAAAAGGCAGAAGGAGAATTCGGATGGCTCCGGCCGGTGCCATGTTAAACAAATAAGAAACGAGCGAAAAGGCAGAAGGAGAATTCGGATGGCTCCGGCCCGCGCCATGTTAAACAAATGAGAAACGAGCGAAAAGGCAGAAGGAGAATTCGGATGGCTCCGGCCCGTGCCATGTTAAACAAATAAGAAACGAGCGAAAAGGCAGAAGGAGAATTCGGATGGCTCCGGTCCGCGCCATGTTAAACAAATAAGAAACGAGCGAAAAGAGGCAGAAGGAGAATTCGCATGGCTCCGGCCCGCCCCATGTTAAACAAATGAGAAACGAGCGAAAGGCAGAAGGAGAATTCGGATGGCTCCGGCTCGCGCCATGTTAAACAAACAGGAAACGAGCGAAAAGGCAGAAGGAGAATTCGGATGGCTCCGGCCCGCGCCATGTTAAACAAACAAGAAACGAGCGAAAAGGCAGAAGGAGAATTCGGATGGCTCCGGCCCGCGCCCTGTTAAACAGATAATAGAAACCATGTTTAAACAAATTAGAAACGAGCGAAAAGGCAGAAGAAGAATTCGGATGGCTCCGGTCGGCGCCATGTTAAACAAATAAGAGACGAGCTAAAAGGCAGAAGGGGAATTCGGCTGGCTCCGGCCCGCGCCTTTTCAAACAAATAAGAAACGAGCGAAAAGGCAGAAGGAGAATCCGGATGGCTCCGGCCCGCGCCATGTTAAACAAATAAGAAACGAGCGAAAAGGCAGAAGGAGAATTCGGATGGCTCCGGCCCGCGCCATGTTAAACAAATAAGAAACGAGCGAAAAGGCAGAAGGAGAATTCGGATGGCTCCGGCCCGCGCCATGTGAAAACAAATAAGTAACCAGAGAAAAGGCAGAAGGAGAACTCGGATGGCTCCGGCCCGCGCCATGTTAAACAAATAAGAAACGAGCGAAAAGGCAAAAGGAGAATTCGGATGGCTCCGGCCCGCGCCATGTTATACAAATAAGAAACGAGCGAAAAGGCAGAAGGAGAATTCGGATGGCTCCGGCCCGCGCCATGTTAAACAAATAAGAAACGAGCGAAAAGGCAAAGGAGATTTCGGAGGGCTCTGGCCCGCGCCATGTTATACACATGAGAAACGAGCGAAAAGACAGAAGAAGAATTCTGATGGCTCCGGCCCGCGCCATGTTAAACAAATAAGAAACGAGCGAAAAGGCAGAAGGAGAATTCGGATGGCTCCGGCCCGCGCCATGTTAAACAAATAAGAAACGAGCGAAAAGGCAGAAGGAGAGAACATGCAGAAGGAGAATTCGGATGGCTCCGGCCGGCGCCATGTTAAACAAATAAGAAACGAGCGGAAAGGCAGAAGGAGAATTCGGATGGCTCCGGCCCGCGCCATGTTTAAACAAATAAGAAACGAGCGTAAAGGCAGAAGGAGAATTCGGATGGCTCCGGCCCGCGCCATGTTAAACAAATAAGAAACGAGCGAAAAGGCAGAAGGAGAATTCGGATGGCTCCGGCCCGTGCCATGTTAAACAAATAAGAAACGAGCGAAAATGCAGAAGGAGAATTCGGATGGCTCCGGCCCGCGCCATGTTAAACAAACAAGAAACGAGCGAAAAGGCAGAAGGAGAATTCGGATGGCTCCGGCCCGCGCCCTGTTAAACAGATAAGAAACCATGTTTAAACAAATTAGAAAGGAGCGAAAAGGCAGAAGAAGAATTCGGATGGCTCCGGCCCGCGCCATGTTAAACAAATAAGAGACGAGCTAAAAGGCAGAAGGGGAATTCGGCTGGCTCCGGCCCGCGCCTTTTCAAACAAATAAGAAACGAGCGAAAAGGCAGAAGGAGAATCCGGATGGCTCCGGCCCGCGCCATGTTAAACAAATAAGAAACGAGCGAAAAGGCAGAAGGAGAATTCGGATGGCTCCGGCCCGCGCCATGTTAAACAAATAAGAAACGAGCGAAA